AGAGAGATGCAATAAAAAAGAACTATACGCCAATATCCCTAGTGGATCCTGATGCAAAAATTCTCAATAAAATAGTATCAAATAGAGTCCAGCAATACATCAACAAGATTATCTACCCAAGGTAGAATTTATTGCAGGGATGCAGATTTACATATGTAAATCAATAAATGTGTTATTTAAAATCAACAAAATGAAAGATAAAGCCGTATGATTATCTCAATAGATGCAGATAAACATTTGACAAAATATGACATCCTTTCGTGATAAAAATCTTTAAAAATTGGGTATAGAAGAAACACACCTTGACACAATCAAAGCAATATATGACTAAACCACAGGCAGCATCATATTGAATGGGGAAAAGCTGGGAGAAATTCCACTAAATCTGGAGCTAATGACAACCATTTTCACCATTATTTTCAATATACTTCTGGAAGTTTTAGTCAGAGACATTAGGCAAGAAAAAAAATCAAAGTGATAAGGAGGAAGTACAATAATCCCTGTTTGCAGTTGATATAATTCTTTATATAGAGAAACCAAAAGACTATTAGAAGGGCTGGCAGTGTGGTGTAGCAGGTAAAGCCACAACCCAAAGTGCTGGCATCCCAGATGGGCTCTGATTCGAGTCTTGGCTGTTCCACTTCCAATCCAGCTCTCTACTATTGCCTGGAAAAGCAGTAGAAGACAGCCCAAGTCCTTGGGCCCCTGTACCCATATGGGAGGCCTGGAAGAAACTCTGGCTCCTGGCTTCAGATCAGCACAGCTCTGGCTGTTGTGGCCATTTGGAGAGTCAACCAGCAGATGGAAGACCTCTCTCTGTCTCTCCCTCTCATTATTTATAAATCTACATCCCAAATAAATAAATACAGTCTTAAAAAAAAGAAAAAGAAATAAAAGACACAAAAATTGGGAAAATCTCACATGTTCATAGATTGGAAAAATTAATATCAAAATATCATACTACCCCAAGTAATTGATAGATTCAAAGCAATCCCAATTAAGACACCAAGGACATTCTTCACAATTATAAAAACATGATCCTAAAATTCATATGGAAAAATAGAAGACCCCAAATGCTTAAAGCAATCTTAAATAAAAATGAAGCTTGAGGCATCACAATACCAGATTTCAAGGCATACTAGAGGGCTGTTATTATTAAAACAGCCTGGTCTGGAACAAAAAAAAGACATGTTGAACAATGAGACAGAAGAGAAACCCCAGAAATGAACTCATATATTGGCAACCAACTAATATTTGACAAGGGAAATAAAATCACTCCCTAGACAGAAAGATATTTTGAAAAATGAAAGAGGAAGCTATTTTGGAGAAGAATTTTGTGTTCAGAACAATATTACTGACAGGTTACATAAAATGACATTGAAGAAATGACCTCTAGTTTTATAGAAATAAGTGTTAACTTGGAGAGAACAAGCTTTGACAGGATCCTGGGATTGGAAATTACTGGAGTAAAGGGAGGTGATATTTAAGGCAGTGAGTAAAGGTATTACTGCTGAGTGACATAGTCATACATGATCAAATTTTCCTTCATCTGTGTTTTCTAATCCTTAAATAATAATTATGAATTATATTTGCAACAGTTCACAGTTTTTAAACTGTGAAATGAATATGTAGCACTAAAAGGCAGACCAAGGCACTAAATGATACATTTCTAAAGTTAGAGAAAAAAAGGACCTCTTGACAATTCCCATATATGTAGTATGTGTACTAGTTATCATTTTGTTTAGACTTCTAATACCACAGAAAGATTGAAAAATCTCAAAGGCTTGGTACACATCATATAATTCTATACTAGTCAAAGATAAAAGTTCTTAATCATAACAAATTTTGAATTGTTTATAAAATAAGAGGAAAATGTAAAAAGTAACCTATTTTGTAATTAGAGTTTTCAAATTTTATTTCAACTCCCTCTTGAAAAATGCTGTGTTGCACACATTGTTGTCTTTGAAATGGGTAATGGCATGCATGCATGGTATTCTGAACAGGAAGATTCACTTCATTAATAATCCCTGTGGGCCAAATCCAGCTCCTCGCTGTTTTTATAAATAAATTTTTGTTGGAATATAACCACATCTATTTACTTATAGCCTATACGTATTTTAGGCAACAACAGAGATATTATGGTACATAAAGCATAAGGTATTTACTTTCTGGCTCTTTACAAAAAGGTTTGCCAGAACTAGGCTTAGAAGATCAAAGACCCTTTGATATGTTTTAAAAGGTTTTATCCATCATTCAGAAATGTTACAGAGTATGGAACATTGTACACAATCCCTCAACAATAGTCACAATAATTTGAGTGTCTATCATTTGAGCATTAATGTGCTGGGAGCCAAACCCAAAAATCTCATGATTAGTCACTTTTTACAAACAGATCAGAAAGCCAGAGTAGCATGGGGCTTTTCTTTGTACATCAATAGATATCTCAAATATTAACTAAATTTATTAAGATGTGTCATCAAACCAAAGGCTTTAAATATATGGTAATGGTGTAATAATCAGTATACTGTAGATCTATCCTCATTTTGAAAATGAATGCATTATACATTATTTTATTGATTGGCTATTAGACTACCTACAACTTAATGATTTTGCAGTATCCTTAATGTTCTTAGTTACACATGTAATATATGTATGAAATATTTTAAGCAATGTAGGCCTTTTTATATTACATATATTGTCCCATTATGTTATATATAATACATTATAAATGGCTTTAACATAGATGTGAATATTAATGCATAATATTTCTTATTTTCTTTAGGATCAAATTCGAGGGAAATAGTTACAAGGTAGAAAGGATGATATATTTCAAATTTGAGCATATCTTACTAATGCATCCATTTAATTTACCAACAGTGTATGAGAATAAACTTCTTCATGTTTGTCAACCCAGTTATTGTTTTTCAATAAAGCATGATCATTATGACCAATATCATTATCAATATGAAACAATGATAACTGATTAATAATTAATTTTGGTCATCTGTATGTTTTTATTAAAGTTTATTTGTTTATTTGAAAGATACAGAGAGAGAGAGGGAGAGACAGAGAGAGAGAGCTTCCACCCACTTTTTCACTCCTCTGATGGCTGCACTGGTTAGAGCTGGGCCTGGCTGAAGCCAGGAGCCAAGATCTCCTTCAGAATGAGTGGCTGCCACATGGGTGGCAGGGGCCCAATCACTGGAATCATCTTTTACTGTTTTCCTTAGCCATTATCAAGGAGCTGAATCAGCAGTGGAGTAGTCAGGGGGCAGGGGATATGGCATAGGAGGTTATGTCTCCACCTGCAGGACAGGCATCTCACATGGGCACCAGTTCAATTCCTGGCTGCTTCACTTCCCATCCAGTTCTCTGCTGATGACCAGAAAAGGCAATGAAAGATGGCCCATGTGCTTGGGCCCCTGCATACACTTGGGAGACCCAGAGGAAGATCTTAGATCCTAGCTTGGGATCATCCCAATTCTGACCATTGTGGCCATTTGGGGAATGAACCAGTGGACAAAAGACCTCTCTCTGTATCTCTGGCTCTTAAATAAATAAATACATCTTGGCCGGTGTCGCGGCTCACTAGGCTAATCCTCCACCTTGCGGCGCTGGCACACCGGGTTCTAGTCCCAGTTGGGGCACGGATTCTGTACCAGTTGCCTCTCTTCCAGGCCAGCTCTCTGCCATGGCCAGGGAGTGCAGTGGAGGATGGCCCAAGTGTGCCAGCCGTGGCAGCCATTGGAGGGTGAACCAACAGCAAAAGGAAGACCTTTCTCTCTGTCTCTCTCTCTCACTGTCCGCTGGCCATGGCAGCCATTGGAGGGTGAACCAACAGCAAAAGGAAGACCTTTCTCTCTGTCTCTCTCTCTCACTGTCCACTCTGCCTGTCAAAAAAATAAATAAATAAAATAAATAAATCTTAAAAATATGTAGAAAAAAGAACTGGGGCAGCCAAGGTTTTTATTTTTAACAATTTAAACCTCTTTAAATTGTGAACTTCATAGTACAAACTACAAATGTCTTTAGATGTTTTCACATGTTTGTTCTGGCTTAACTTGCAGCTTGCATGTAGCAAATTTTAATTCTTAAAACTTGAGAGCCATAATGAAATAGATCTGCTATGACCTTTTTTATGAAATGAATTTTTCATTCCATAAACTCCACATTTTTCAGGATTTTTACAACTGTTGTTAACCTGTTTATATTTTCATAGTATGAAATCATTGGTGTTCAATATTTGCTTTTCTTGAGTTCAAACCTAAATATTTGGAGAAAGAAAATTTATTATGGCAAATTAGGTACAGTTTTTATGCTTGAGATATTTATGTGTGTTATGTGTATTCTAAATTGTACAGCTTCATGCCTCCTGCTTTTGAAGCAGTGTATGGTGAGCACTTGAGAGAGACTATTAAGTGTTTGAATGTGTATTTTAATATAAATATGTAACTTCCATTTCACTCCATGTAGCTAAGTGATAATTCACATGTGTGGTTATCCTATTAATAGTGGGCTTTATAATTCTTTGAACCATTCATAAATAATAAATTTGTACTTCTCCATATTACTAATGCTTACTTCTCTTATAGTTACTCCTGTTTTGTAAACACCAAACACATAAACTGTTTTCTTGTTGCTTTAATTTTACATTCTTATGTAACATTTGATGCATACAAAAGAGTACAGTTGATATGTTGAGATATAAAGCACAAGTTAGCACTCTGAACCCATCACTTGAGATCAGCACTGTATTTGCTTTGGCCAACTGCTTGTTCTCTTATTATATATAATATGTATATAACTATATAAAATATAGTTCATGTATATAAATTTGTGTGTAAATATATGTGTATAAATAAAATACACCATATACGCATATAAGTATATTTATGTAATATATATAAAACCTCATTGCATTGGGAAAAAAATTTCTTAACTGACATTGATTTTCTGTTTATTTCTATTTTACTAAGCTGGCATGGAAAGGGATCTCAGTATTTATCCATTCCTCCCTTTATTGGCCCTTACCAGGAGCGATGTATTTGTAAAGCAAAAGCTGCATTCTCACCTGCAAACATAAAATGAAGCATGAAAGGAATCTTTTCTGTAATGGAAACAAGTCTGGGAGACATCTGCTGGAAAGGAATGAAAAGCACAAGTGAGTTCCATCTCTTACAGAATCCAGTGGGTTTTACCACTTGAAATGCTCAGTTTTCATGAACTTACAATGTCAGCAGCAAACAAATGAGAACATCAGCCACAACACCCATTTTATACTATATCAATTTGTGCGGGATGGAAATTTCAAAGTGTATTTTTGTCAAAACAAAGTTGCTACAAAAATTGTTCTTAAACATCTAAAAAGGAAACCATCTAAAATCTTGAATTGTGTGTTTAAAATAAATATTTGGGTGAATTTTTACAATCTGCATTTCAGTTACTCTGGGTAAGTATAATAAATCCCTGTAATTCCATAGCACATGGTTTCAGATCAACACAAAACCAGAAAATTAAACAGCCATGTACACATCAGTAAATCCATTCAAGAAAATGGCCAGGCATGGAGCAGGGAGACACCAGGACCCTGTCTTGCAACACAGACTTTGGCACATAGGAAAATCTATAGGCAGGGTCTGGCAAGATGAGGCATCCCCCAGCTGCAGGGACCTGCTGGGAGGCCCAGATACCATGGCAGACCTGAGAGTTGTTGGATCTAATCTCAGAGCCTGGACCACACTGCTGACCTTGGTGCCTCAGCTCCAGCCTCTGAGGTGGCTGGCCCACAAGGTGGCTGACAGTCCAGGGCATGTCCTGTGTTCCCCAGGCCAACCCACCTCCCAAAGCCAATGCACCACTGAAGCCCAACCCTGCACTGGGCTTCACTTTGATGTGGCCAAGAGGAGAGGGCCTCTGTGCACCCAGTACCACCCAGAATATGAAAATCTCAGAGCCACTTTGCAGATCCACCTCTAATCATGGCTTTGCTGCCAAGATCCACAGGCAGTGGCCAGAAACCACAAACCTGACCAGAGGCACAAATGCCCTCTGACTCAAGCCCTGGAGCTGGGTAGAGGGCAAGGAGAGGAACCTCTGAGTGCTGCTGACCACGCTGCCCAAGCTGCCCATGCTACAGTGGAACTGGGCAGGCAGCCCCTGGGTGCCGTGACTACATGAGAGGCGGGGAAGAAGCAGTGGTGCTGCATCCTGCTGGTTATGAGCTGGACACAGCCACGGGGCAGCTGAAGGAGCCACTGGTCAGAGAGCTCTGCAATACCTGGTGAGAGTTCCAGAACCAGAGCTCCTGGCCCCTCTTCCAGGCTGATAATGGTGGTGAGTGCACCAGGCTCTGGAGGCTGAGGGCTGCCAGTCTGAGTGTGGCAATGCCAGCAGCAGGGCTTTTGAGTGTCCTTCCCTCCATCAGCCAAGGACTCAAGGAGAAAGCATTCACACTCATGCGTGTTGTCCTATTTTCCTTTTCCCTGCCCCAAGCAGAGGTGCGGGTTGCTCTCTTCACTTCTCAAGCTAGGGATCACCCCCTTCTGGGGGCCCCTCACCACCCAGGGTGTAATGTGCCTCATGACCATCAACATATTACAGAATGGTTTTCTTATGGAAAAGCTGCAGGAGCCCAAGGAGAAGCAGACAGACTTTCTTTTAAGGATTTCAAAAGGTAAATTTGGTTTGTCATGTTCTTGCAGTAGCTGATCATCTTCCTATATCTTGGTTGAAAGAAATATCAGAGTTGGCATTAACTGAAAAATGCAAATATTTTTAAACTAAAAGATCAGTATGCTTCAGGGATAGCTGTTTTATTGATTTCATGTTACCATAGTAAAATATATCTTCTTTTAAACCAAAAAAATCAAAAGCCTTTCAATGATGGCATGCCATCATTTGCTAGCACATCCTAATCTCAGAAATATATGAAAAGTTCACATCTTAGACTGGAAAATGTTAATTTGTATTGAAATGTCATGAAACTTTGAATAATAAGAATGATGTAATATTTATGGGGATTTTAAGCTTGAGTGTTTGAAAGTGGAATGTTTTTGCTTGTTCTGAGTTTGGCTATGACTCTGGTTTTAATTATCCATGTGCTATTGTTTGCTGGAGTTTATATGTAATTCTTTCATTAATATATTTCAACAAACCATGCTTTTTTCTCCCAAACTTTTCGCTACTCATTGTTTCCATTAGTTTCATTCCTATTCTTTATGATCCATTTTTTTTTCACTGATCCAGTTTTACTCTGTAGGTCATATTTCCCCCACTTTTATACTCTCAATCACTATGCTAGTTGCGGTAACAATTTTCCATCCCTTTTGTGTGTTGTCACAGTAATTCTTAAATAGTATTTCTCTCTTCTGATTTCTAAAAAAATTAACTGTCTTCTCTGTTTAAATATTTTTAATCATTTATGTTATACAAAGGTTAAAATTCCTTAAAATGCCATGAGGTTTTTTATTTTCTAATTTTATATTTGCTCTATTTCATTGTTATTTCAGGAACTGTGAAGGGAGTGCATGGCAATTTTTTTCGAATTATTATTTTCTGGGATTTTGTCTTAGCTCCGGTGTCTTATTGACTCACTTTTCTTGACCACTTGTGTATCTTCTCCTTAGTTATCAAAGATAGCAATAGCCTTGATCTCTTTTTAAGCAAGAAAAGAAAAGCATTAAAAGACAGAGCATGTAGTTCACTTGGTCAGATGACCACCTGTGGTTTGTCTTGGTCTTTGTGTACAATTCTGTTTGCTCATTAATTTCTTCATCTTCCCAGAACTCAGCAAAAGAGTGATTCCATAACCATGTTCCTGTATTGATTGGGACTCAGAGTAAGGAAGAAGAGAAGTGGAGGGGTTCAAGAAGCTAATGTTAAATGCTGTGTAGGTAAAAGATGCTGGGAAGTTCTCTAACCAAGCAGATTATTCCATATGTAAGGCTATAGGGATTGTAAGTAACTGTAGAATACTTTGCACAATATATCAAGTTCTATACTATCATAATCAGTATAAGATGTAAAAGCACTTATTTTCTGTGTGTCTGTATGTAAATAAATTCTGATAGATTAATTAACATTAATATATTTTATAGAATTACTTCATCAATTTATTTTAAAGAAGCATCATTTTCAGGGCCAGCACTGTGGCTCAGTGGGTTGACACACTGGCCTGGAGCACCGGCATCCCATGTGTGCACTGGTTCTAGTCCCAGCTGCTCTTCTTCCAGTCTGGCTCTCTGCTGTGGCCTGGGATGGCAGTGGAGGATGGCTCAAGTCCTTGGGCCCCTGTACCCATGTGGGAGACCTGGAGGAGGCTCCTGGCTCCTGGCTTTGGATTGGCATAGCACCAGCCATTGCAGTCATGTAGGGAGTGAGCCAGTGGATGGAAGACCTCTTTCTCTCTGTCTCTACCTCTGTGGCTCTGTCTTTCAAATAAACAGAATAAATCTTAAAAAAAAGAAACATCATTTTCACTTGTATGGAAAGGGGAATAACTGTTGTACAGTGAAAAGGAAATTCATTCATCAATGAAACATAAAAATATTCAGAAATCATTTACTGGAATATTGTATGTTGTTATGTGTTTGATTATAGATGACACAAATACACCGTCTATATTCTGTTTTGCTTAAAATTTCTGCATGTGTGACTTTATTTTTTCCTTATAACCCCAATTATTTTGGTATCATAAGATGGAAAATGAGTTCTATATTGGCCAGGACATGCTTAGTTTTCCAGTTCTAAATATTCAATGTTATAAATAACTTTAGAAATAAATATATTTATTTACTATACTAATGCCTTTCCAAAAATTTTGTAAACCTCTATCTTCTTTTGTATATACTGATAATACCTCTGCTACGCTACTGGAATTTACAGCTGTGTGTAATGCTGAAGAATTGAAACTGTCTTGTTCATGGCTTACAGGACTAAGCATGGCAACTTTACTGGAAGCAAAGTATATACCCTACATACATTATATGACTTGCAAAAGCATGTATTGATATGGAAAAGTCAAGTAAGTGTGAATTATGATGCTTTCTTAGGTGAAAAGAAGTCAATAAATGCTAATGATTTAATAGTCACAGACATTTAGAATTAGAGGGATCTTAAAATACAGCAATTTTTATGAGAACATTTATGCATTTATTTTTGATATAAGGTCAAAATATTTTATTGAGTATAAAGTTAGTGGTGAGAAAATTTAGACTATATTCATAAATGTAGAAATTTCATATTAGGCTTCTTAATGTCAATTTGCATTTTAAAGCTTATCACCTAGTATATTTCTGTTATTATTCAATACTAACAATAATACCTAGTGTTTATTCTATGTGCTAAATAACATACTTGGTCTCCTGTGCCCAGAAGAAGCTGCTGGCTCCTAGCTTCAGACAGGCCCAGCTCTGTCCATTGAAGCTATTTGGTGAATGAACCAGTAGATAGAGTCAGTTTGTCTGTCTGTCTGTCTGTCTGTCTCTCATAATTATAATAATAAAATTACAAAGTTGTATTCTATCTATTTGAATAGCAGAATGATAGGGAGGGAGGAAGGAAGAGAGAGAAATTGATCATCCATCATCCATCCATCCTCAAATGTCTGCAACAGATAGGCTGGGACAGGCTGAAACCAGGAGCCAGAAACTCAATGATCTGGGTCACCCATGGGGTGACAGGAGCCAAAGTATTAAGTCATTTTCCACTGCTTCCCCAGTCACATTAGCAGGGAGCTGGAATAGAAGTGGAGCAGCTGGGATTTGGAGGTAGTGGCTTACCACACTGTACCACAGCACTGATCTCATTTTCCTTAGAGATTTATTTAGTTGAAAGGAGGCTGGCAGAGAGAGGGAGAGACAGAGTGAGAACTAACAGATTCTTAATCATTTCCAGGGTTCAATGTAAAGAAAATGATTTTCAGTTTGGAGCTGACATTGTGGCTCAACATGTTCAGCCACTGCTTGTGATGCCAGCACCACATATACACGCCAATTAATTTGGTTATTTACTTGGCAGTAGGAAATATCTGCATATTTGGAAATTTTTGAATGGTATTAATTCATTTGGTTTTTATATCATATTTTAGGTCTTATAATGTTTTAAGTGATGATATTTTAAAGGCTTTTTCTGTGTTCTATCAATAATGTTAACAGTTTGATTTTTCAGTGACCACAGTATTACCATTTAGGCAGCATATTAGGCAAGACATCTCAACAGAATAATTTCCCAATGAACTGTACTATATTAGGATATTTTTAAATTTAAAAAATAGTATTTCTTGCAGAGCTCATAGATAAGTTATAATCAATATTGAAGATATTTACACTGTTTTATCACTTTGATTTAACTATTTGACAAACTAAATGATAATAATTGTATACGATTACAGCTTTTTTAAATTGAATGCATTTAATGATGAAATAATATATTTTAATTTCCTTACTCAAAGCCTCAGAGAAAGTATTTCACTATTTATCAAATTCAGGAAAGTGTAAAAATGAACTTCTATCATACCTAAAATATGGAAAAATTAGTGTGTAATAAAATGGAGCTTTTGGAAGTCTCACAGAAAAAATTGTAATTACATTGATCAAAATTTTCTCAGCCTTGTAAATTCTGGAAATCATTAGGTATTCTATACTGTTTCTACTTAATATTACCATACCTTAGAACTAATGGGATATTTAACTGTTTTTTTAAAATAAAATTGAGGAACTGACATTTGGTATAGCTACTTAGGCTACCACCTGCAGTGCCAGCATCCCATATGGATGCTGGTTTGTGTCCCAGCTGCTTCACTTCTTATCCAGATCCCTGACAATGCATCTAGGAAGTAGCAGATGACCTGAGTTCTTGGGACCCTGACACCCATGTGGCACCCAGGAGAAATTCCTGGCTCTTAGCTTAAGCCTGGCCCAGCCTTGGGTGTTACAGTCATTTAGGAAGTAAATCAGCAGATAGAAAATTCTCTCTCTCTCTCTCTCTCTCTCTCTCCTTCTCCTTCTACCTCTGTAACTCTGCCTTTCAAATAAATAAATTTGTAAACCTAAGAAAACAAAAATAATTTTTGCAAGTTTTCTTAACTGGCATATTTAATTATAAAGATTCCAGCAATGGCTAGAAAAATCATTATACCATATCAAGTTGTGCCAAATATTAGCTATTTGGAAGCAGAAGATGTAGGTATCTTTTTGAAAGAAGAAATAAATATGGAACAAATTATTCAGAAACTGTTTTCTTTCTTTTTTCTGCTTTCTTTCCTCTTCTTCACCCAGCCTCCATCTTTGATGCTTGACAACATTTTATTGATGTTGGAAGAAGAAATGGGAAATTTCTTTTTTTTTTTTATTTTTTTTATTTTTTTTATTTTTGATAGGCAGAGTGGACAGAGAGAGAGACAGAGAGAGAAAGGTCTTCCTTTGCCGTTGGTTCACCCTCCAATGGCCGCCGCTGCAGCCGGCGCACCGCGCTGATCCGATGGCAGGAGCCAGGATCCAGGTGCTTTTTCCTGGTCTCCCATGGGGTGCAGGGCCCAAGCACCTGGGCCATCCTCCACTGCACTCCCTGGCCATAGCAGAGGGCTGGCCTGGAAGAGGGGCAACCGGGACAGAATCCGGCGCCCCGACCGGGACTAGAACCCGGTGTGCCGGCGCCGCAAGGTGGAGGATTAGCCTATTGAGCCACGGCGCCGGCTAGAAATGGGAAATTTCTAACAGAAGTCTGTACTTAATTTCATTAGCTTTGGTATAACACTAACTAAATATATAATTAATATTTTAAATTATAACAATTGTAAAATATAAAACTAAAAATAACTTACCTTAGGTTAAATGAATTGGGATAAACAAGTGCATTTCTTCTAGCTACCTTCCCTATGCCTGTAGAGATTGGTGTTAGGACATTTAAGAAGCCATATTGTGCTGGAGCAGAGAGAAGAGGAAAAGAATCAACAGAAGTCAGGAGATGTTAATAGTTTTGGGTATTGGGAGGAGCAGCAAGCCTAAGACAGAATTCTGTAACTAATTTAGAATTTGCAATCCAAATTTGTGAAGGCTATGGTGAGTACTTAGATTTAAGGGTCATAAACTCTTATTCCTTTTTTTTTTTGACAGGCAGAGTGGATAGTGAGAGAGAGAGAGAGAGAGAGAGAGAGAAAGGTCTTCCTTTGCCATTGGTTCACCCTCCAATGGCCACTGCGGCCAGCACGCTGCAGCTGGTGCACCGCGCTGATCCGATGGCAAGAGCCAGGTACTTATCCTGGTCTCCCATGGGGTGCAGGGCCCAAGAACTTGGGCCATCCTCCACTGCACTCCTTGGCCACAGCAGAGAGCTGGCCTGGAAGAGGAGCAACCGGGACAGAATCTGGCGCCCCGACCGGGACTAGAACCCGGTGTGCCGGCACTGCAAGGTGGAGGATTAGCCTAGTGAGCCACGGCGCCGGCAACTCTTATTCCTTTCAACAACCTTATTCAACAACATGATTGCTGATTCTTCATTCCAACAGAAGATTTAGAGATTTGCTCTCAGGAAAGAAAGACAAAGAAAGTCTTCACAGAGGACTGCACTATCAAAGATGAGACACTATTTGCAACAATTTCTCTCCAGAGAATTGGTTTCAATAGATGATGTGACCTATACTGACTGACATTTGGACATCTGTCAACAGAGGATCTCAGGTTCTACATAGTCCCCTGCAGTGGGCTAGCCATATGACAATCCTGCATAGAATTTATAAACAGTTTTTTTGTGTGTGTGTTCACTTTTAACTGTTTCCAGAATCTCTTTCTGCTTGGAAAATAACCTATTAAAGTGAAATTTGGGGCATTAATCTTATTTACTTTATCTAGTCAACCCTGTACTTCATTGAAAAGTGCTCTTGAGATCCAGAGGTGTTCTTTTTTAATAATCCCCTTCCTAGTATTTTCACCATTTGAAATGTATAAATATCCAACGATAATGAGATCATTTTCAGGTAGAATCACATAGTTGTGTTCCTTATAGATGTTTTATTTTCTCTTTCTGATTAATAGTACTTAATTCTGGAAATTAAGCTTTCTCTGAAATGCTTTTCAAAATTAGCACCAAATATTTCTTGCTCAAGATCATAGTTCATAATAGTATGTGTGTAGCTATTTGTAAAAGGTGAAAGATTAAATGATTGAAAGAAACCAGAGTATATGTGTGTAGATATTTGTAATATTTTACTATTCTAACTAGTTTCCTACTTGTTTGCTACTTTCATAGAAAAGTTAGGATTAGAATAGTATCTGAGAAGCAGTGAATTTAATAAATTTGCTTCATGTCATATGCATAAATTTGATTGTATTGTACATTAATTTATATGGTTTCTGTTTTATCAAAATGCTATATTCTATTTATTAAAATTTATAGTTAGTTATTTTCTTGTTTTATCTCTAATTCATTTTTTAGGGTCTTAAATATCTATTCTTTATTTTTTTTCTTTGATCATGCTTTTTTTTAACTTTTATTTAATGAAGATAAATTTCCAAAGTACGACTTATGGATTACAATGGCTTCCCCCCATACCGTCCCTCCCACCCACAACCCTCCCCTTTCCCACTCCCTCTCCCCTTCCATTCACATCAAGATTCATTTTCAATTATCTTAATATACAGAAGATCAGCTTAGTATACATTAAGTAAGGATTTCAACAGTTTTCTCCCACACAGAAACATAAAGTGAAAAATAATAGATGATTTTTTAAATGATGATGAAATCAGATCAGACCTATTGTCATGTTTAATCCCAGTGAGAGTCAAGTTGGGAATTGATAATTTCTTTTTTTTTTTAACAGAAGATCAGTTTAGTATGCATTAAGTAAAGATTTCAACAGTTTGCACCCCCATAGAAACACAAAGTGAAATATATTGTTTGAGTACTCGTTATAGCATTAAATCTCAGTGTACAGCACATTAAGGACAGAGATCCTACATGAGGAGTAAGTGCACAGTGACTCCTGTTGTTGACTTTACCAATTGACACTCCTGTCTATGGCATCAGTAATCTCCCTATGCTCCAGTCATGAGTTTCCAAGGCTATGGAAGCCCTCTGAGTTCTCCGACTCTTATCTTGTTTAGACAAGGTCATAGTCAAAGTGGAGGTTCTCTCCTCCCTTCAGAGAAAGGTACCTCCTTCTTTGAAGACCTGTTCTTTCCACTGGGATCTCACTCACAGAGATCTTTTTGCCAGAGTGTCTTGGCTTTCCATGCCTGAAATACTCTCATGGGCTTTTCAGCCAGATCGGAATGCCTTTAGGGCTGATTCTGAGGCCAGAGTGCTATTTAGGACATCTGCCATTCTATGAGTCTGCTGAGTATCTCACTTCCCATGTTGGATCACTCTCCCCTTTATTTATTCTATCGGTTAGCGTTAGCAGGTACTAGACTTGTTTATGTGCTCCCTTTGACTCCCAGTCCCTCCACCATGACCAACTGTGAACTGAAATTGATCACTTGGACTAGTGAGATGACATTGGTACATGCCACCTTGATGGGATTGAATTGGAATCCCCTGGTATGTTTCTAACTCTACCATTTGGGGCAAGTCAGCTTGAGCAATTTATAGTTATTCTCTTGTTTTATCTCTAATTCATTTTCAAAACATCACCTTATGTTTGCTTTTAGCTGAGGAACCTATGCTCAAGCATAAGAAAACAAAAACTTAAAGAGAATTCATATAAGCATTCAGATAGTTCTGTAGGTTATTTCCTTTCAGATATTTTTCATAGTCTACCATGTAAGGTTTAGTTGAAAGCGTTTTATCATGTATTTGCAGTTCTAATCCTTGATATCTCAATTCTTTATATGATTTATTTAATATGCCTAATTATTTCCATCTGCTGAGGCCACTGAGCAAGAAAATAATCCTCTTGGAGGCTTCAAAAATTATAGTATATTATGATAAGTACTCCAACTAGTCTCAGATCAGGAAAGGCTTCTTAGAAGAAAGTGATATCTGGACTGGTCTTTAAGAATGAAATGAAATTCGCTAAGAAATAGATGAACACATTGTGCAAAGTGGACCATATAGTCCTATGCCTACGGACAGCAGAATGAAGTGCACAATTCATGTACATACAGTTCAGCATAGCTCAAGTCACATAGGTCTATGAAAATAGGGGATAGATTAGAAAGAGTAAGATATTAGAGTATCTTGTATGCAACTCAGGAATTTGCATTTTACTCTAAATGCTATTGATGGAATTGTAAAGCAGTATGTGACTAGATAAGATTTACATTTTGAGAAAGAGTAATGCAGTGGCATTGAAGGTTGGAGATCGAAGGTGGGCAAATCATGCCAGAGATCCTGTGATTGCTTTAAGTCCATGCAATAAACAAATCCTTAAAAATAAAAGTGATAAAAAAAGTTGTTCCCAATCTTTCATAAAAGATAGAATTTCATTCTTTTTTATTGCTGAATAGTATTCCATTGTGTATACATACAATAATTTGTTTATCCAGGCATTGGTTGATTCCATAACTAAGCTATTGTGAATTGAGCAGAAATAAACTTAGTGGTACAGATAACTTTTTCCATATGCTGATTTCATTTCATTTGGATAAATTCCAATAAGTGGAATAGATGGGTCATATAGTAGATCTATTTTCAGATTCTGAGGAATCTCCATAGTGTCTTCCACAATGTCCATACTAGTTTATGTTCCCACAAATAGTGTATTAGGGAACATTTTCCCAACATCCTCACCATCATTTATGTTTTGTTGATTTCTATGTGATTTCCCTTCTAACTGTGGTGAAGGGAAACCTCATTATGGTTTTCAATTCACATTTCCATGATGACTAGTGATTCTGAGCATTTTTTCATGTATTTGTTGGCCATTTGAATTTCCTCTTTTGCAAAAAGCCTGTTCAAGTCCTTTGCACATTTCTTAACTGGTTTCTTTGTTTTGTTGTTGAGTTACTTAAAATTATGATGATTCCAGGCACATAGAAGGAGTTGGGGAGGACTCCCTCCCTTTCAGTTGTTTTAAATAGTTTGAGAAGAATAGAATTAGTTCTTGGCACCATGGCTCACTAGGTAATCCTCCGCCTGCAGCACCGGCATCCCATATGGGCACCGAGTTCTAGTCCCGGTTGCTCCTCTTCCAGTCCAGCTCTCTGCTGTGGCCTGGGAAGGCAGTGGAGGCTAGCCAAAGTGTTTGGGTCCTTGCAACCACATGGGAGACCAGGAGGAAGCTCCAGGCTCCTGGCTTCAGGTTGGCACAATGCCGGCCATATTGGACATTTGGGGGGTGAACCAATGGAAGGAAGACTTTTCTCTCTGTCTCTCTCTCACTGTCTATAACTCTATCTGTCAAATAAAAAAAAGTTAAAAAAAGAAAAAAAGAATAGAATTAGTTCTTTAGAAGTCTGGTAGAATTGAACAGTGAAGTTATTTGGTGCTGGGCTTTTCTTGTTGGGAGGATCTTTATTACTGATTCAGTCTTCATCTTGGTTATTGGTCTGGTTAGATTTTCTGTCTTTATGTCTCAGTTTGGGTAGATGGTATGTTTCCAGACAGCTATCCATCTCTTCTAGATTTTCCAGTTTGTTGGCATATTTTTTATTAGTCATTTCTTTTTTTATAATTATTTGACAGGTAGAGTTATAGACAGCGAGAGAGAAAGACAGAAAGAAAGGTCTTCCATCCATTGGTTCACTCCCCAAATGGCCACTACGGCCAGCGCTGTGCCAATCCAAAGCCAGGAGCCTCCTCCCAGTCTCCCATGTGGGCACTGGGGCCCAAGCACTTGGGTCGTTCTCCACTGCCCTCCCGGGCCACAGCAGAGAGCTGGACAGGAAGAGGAGAAACCAGGACTAGAACCCCGTGCCCATGTGGGATGCTGGTGCTGCAGGCAGAGGATCAACCAAGTGAGCCATGGCACTGGCCCCCATGTTAGTCATTACTGTGGACTCTCTTATGGAACTATTGGCATCTGACTGAAAGAACCTACACAAGAATAAATGATGTAAAATATTGTGACACTATATACACCTTTTTAAAAAAAATATTGATTTGAAAAGCAGATTTGTAGAGAGGAGAGACAGAGATAGACACAGAGAGATATTCCATTCAGTGGTTCAATCCTCAAATTACTACAATGGCCAGGTTTCAGACAGGCTGAAGCAAGGAGCCATGAGTTTGTCTTGGGTCTCCCATATGGGTGGCAGGGGCTGAAGCACTTGAGGCATCATTTCCAAGTACATTAGTAGGGAGCTGGATTGGAACTGGAACAGGCAGAACACAAACAGGCTGCTATATGGTATGCCAACATGTCAGATGGCCCTTTAAGCCATTATGGCACAATGTCAGCCTCACTATATACAAATATTAAATAAAATTTATTTATGGAGCAATTACTGAAATATGTTTTATGAAAATCCAGTTGTACCCTAGATAAAAGTTGGTAATGTA